AGACAAAAGGGCGGTCCGTACAAATTTTTTAAATTAGATATTTACATGCACCATATTTACCAAGAAAAAATTACGAACCGAACATATGATCTTTTTATAAACTATGAGGATCATTTATGTAACTTTATCTTAAAAAGTTTAGAAACAAATCAACAATTGTGGAATAAAATCTCATACTATGATTTATAACTTCTAGTATTCTAGAAAAACGTTTTTTTTTTATACTTTAGTTTCACAATATCTTTTTTGTTTTTGTGTATTTTATCTTGTGTACGATTTGATGCTCAAAACAGTAATTAATTAATTAAATTTGCAGAGCAAATAGGTAATATTAATTAAGTAAAATAAAAAAATTAGTATATTTTCTGGTAAGTGGGGTAACAATATATTAAATACATACAGAGGGACCAACGGTAACATAAACTTTGGAAGTATTTTCGAGGGGCATTTCTGTCAACACACTCTCAAATCTAACGGATCACTACTTAAAGCAAAGAGATTCAACATCACTAAGCAAACAAAAAGACTCCCCCCTGCAACTCTCCAATCAACTTTTGCTTTTAGGGCTTTTTCAACTCCACCATTGTTGACCCTTATAAGCTTTTCCCCCTCTTTCTATCTCATTGGTCATCCGCCAAATTCTCTTTTACGTTCTTCTTTCTTTTTCTCACATAGAATCCAATCATCCATTTGAGCCGATTCAGTCATTTTCAGCAAAAAAAACCTCATTTGGAAGAAGAAGGAATCAACGAATCTCGATTCTGTTTCTGTTGATTCACTCATTAATAAACACATTTGGAGCTAGAAAGAATCTTGAATTCGTTTTCACTACCAGAACCTTATTCTAAACAAAAAATAATCTTTATTTCAGCATCGAAACAAGAAGCATTTCTGGGTTGTTTTAAGTTTTTTCCAAATCTTTCAAAAGTGTTCCACCATGGCTGAAGCTCCAAAAGCAGAGGATATCACTCATCTTCCAACAGACCAACTTCAGGGTTTAGAGTACTGTATCGACTCCAATCCATCTTGGGGTAAGTAAATTTCTTCACTTTTCCTTAAAATCAACGAAATTTTCACACTTTCCATGCTGATTTTAGCTTAAAACTGAAAAAAAACAGGGGAAGCGATAGCTTTGGGGTTTCAACATTACATCTTGTCTTTAGGGACTGCTGTAATGATTCCCAGTTTTCTTGTTCCTTTGATGGGTGGTACATCTGTGAGTGATTTTTCTCCAAAACGTGCATCATATACTTGTACCATGTATGTATAACTGTGCATTACAACTTGTACACTAAAAATTTGCAGAATGATAAGGTGAGGGTGGTGCAAACATTGTTATTTGTTCAAGGGATTAATACATTTCTGCAAACACTTTTTGGAACTCGATTGCCAACTGTTGTTGGTGGATCTTGGGCTTTCATGGTTCCTATAATCTCAATCATCCATGACCCTTCTCTTGCCACCATTGTTGACGATCATATGGTAAATCTAAACTTACAAACTTGCTAATGATGCTTTCTTTCAAGTGTTAAATGCAAGAAATAGCAACCAGTTTAATATAATAATGAGTTTCTTGCACTTTCAGAGATTTCTTGCTACAATGCGAGCGATACAAGGTGCGCTTATAGTAGCATCAAGCGTGCAGATTATCTTGGGATATAGTCAGTTGTGGGCCATTTGTTCAAGGTAAATTTACAATTTCTTAAAGAAAACAATACGATTTTGTAATCGAATTCTAATAATTTTTCATTTATTTCAGATTCTTTAGCCCTGTTGGTATGGTTCCAGTGATTGCATTGACTGGTTTTGGTCTCTTTGACAGAGGATTTCCCGTGGTATGCTTACTTTACTAGTCTTAGATTGACTTTTTGAGGTCATATAGACTCGTTTTCATCATTAAAACTCATACAAATCGTTTATTTGTTTTAGTAAATTTTGATAACCCGATTGAAGTAGTATAACAACTACACATCGTAGAGGAAAAGCGGACTCAATTTTGTATAAACACCTTACCATATTTTAGAATGCAAAGAAAAGTATTTGACCTAAGAAAGTCAAAGTGCTCTGGGTTCAACTTCATAACGCGAGTACTTCTGGAGGTCAAATTACACTCGTTTTCGGTTTCAAGATGATACGAACTTGGCACAAATCTAATATATAAAGACTCAAAGACCTTCAATTTGAGCTAAAAAAAATCAAAACTTTATCTTTGTTCATGACGATTTGATTCAAAATGTTCATAATCATAGGTCGGGAGATGCGTGGAATTCGGCATACCAATGCTGATTCTTTTCATCATGTTCTCTCAGGTATATCACTAGTGTCCATTACGTTTACTAAAACTAGTCGTATTTGATGAACGAAAACGCTAATCTTCCCGTTTCTTGATTTTCCGGTGGAAAAACAGTACCTGAAACAGTTTCAGGCGAAACAACTGCCGATATTGGAACGTTTTGCTCTTCTTTTGACAATAGCAGTGATCTGGGCCTATGCACACCTATTAACCGCTAGTGGTGCATATAAACATCACCCAGAACAGACCCAATTGCACTGCAGAACCGATAAAGCCGATCTCATATCCTCTGCACCATGGTTAGTAGTTTGAGTCATGAATTATTATGATTCATAGATTTTTCAAAGCATAAAGTCGATTCTCAAAGTAGGTTACTTGATGCAGGATAAAGTTTCCGTATCCACTTCAATGGGGTGCGCCAACTTTTCAAGCAGGACATGCTTTTGGTATGATGGCTGCAGTTCTCGTCTCCCTTATTGAGGTGAAAATCTTGTAAATATTGTATTTTTTTGTTTTAATGACATTTGTCACACTCTACAACATGGTTATTGTGTCCAGATTTTGATGATTTTATACTTTTGTAACATTTTGATGATTTTCGTGTTATAATAATAGTCAACAGGTGCATATAAGGCGGCAGCCCGTCTAGCAAGTGCAACACCTCCCCCTGCTCATGTTCTCAGTCGCGGCATTGGGTGGCAGGTCAGTGTTATTTATATCCATTATAAATTACGAAAATTTTACAACATTGTACTTTTAAAAATTCAACCAATAAAAAAAATCACCATATTATACTTAGGTAGATTTTTCAAACTACAAGATAAAACTGAAAGTATTGATTTTAATTTAATTAAAAAGAAATATATATTTTGTCACTCAGGGTGTCGGGATTCTTTTGAGTGGACTTTTTGGAACTGCAACCGGTTCAACAGTTTCTGTGTAAGTGTTTCCGATATTCAACAAATTCTATTCACCATTTCTCATTTGTTTTAAAAAAGAAAAGATATGAAACTAAAACATAAATCCAAACAAAACAGAGAAAACGTCGGTCTTCTTGGAAGCACTCGTGTAGGTAGCCGAAGAGTCATTCAAATCTCAGCTGGCTTCATGATCTTCTTCTCGATTTTAGGTAAGCCCACAAATCTCATTAATCCAATATTTCACGGGGGCATTTACGTCTTTTGCAAGATTGAAATTCAGTTTGTTGATCATCTTTTTTATAATATAATGTGTAGGGAAATTTGGAGCTTTATTTGCGTCGATACCTTTCCCGATTTTTGCTGCGGCATATTGTGTGCTATTTGGTCTTGTTGGTAAGCATTTGATTGGTTAATAATGAAAGTGTGAAATGTGAAAAATAATTGTTTTGTTGTTTTGGCAGCTTCTGTGGGGTTGTCATTCTTGCAATTCACAAACATGAACTCGATGAGAAACTTGTTCATCGTGGGCGTGTCTTTCTTCCTTGGCTTGTCTATTCCCGAATACTTTAGGGAGTACACGGCTGGTGCTCTCCATGGTCCTTCGCATACCAAAGCCGAATGGGTAAGTTGGTCATTTCACATACCATCGGCAAGTTACTATTTTTTCATACAAAAGTTCCATATCTTTTTGCATACATGACAAGTTTGTATTTTTTACGGTTGTCCTTCTACATACAATAACTAGAAGAGCCTTTTGGTCCTACATACAAAAGGTCCATATCGGCATATATCTTTCATGGTCCATCATCCACATACCAAAGCCAGATGGGCATTTTGGTCTTTTTAATCTGCATCCTTTTTTTACATCTACTTTTCATGGTCCTTCCACAAACCACAACCAGAAGGACATTTTGGTATTTTCGCATCTATTTTTCATGGTCCTTCCACATACGATAGCTGGAAAGGCATTTTGTTGTTTTCAAACAAAAGGTCCCATATCTTTTTGCACACGAGGGACATGTTAGCATCTTTACATCTATCTATATATATTCCACATTAACCTGAAGGGCATTTTGGTCTTTTCATACAAAAGGTCTCATATCTCTACATCTTTACATGTTGTTCTCAAGTATGTTTTCATACAAAAGGTCCCATATCTTTTTGCACACGATAGACATGTTAGCATATCTTTACATAACCGGAAGGGCATTTTGGTCATTTCACATCTATTAATAATGTTTTTTTTTTTTTTGTGTATGCAGTTCAATGATTTCCTCAACACCATCTTCTTCTCCTCCCCGACGGTGGCATTGATGGTGTCAGTGTTTCTTGACAACACACTCGAGTTCAAAGACAGTGCAAAAGACCGAGGGATGCCATGGTGGGCCAAGTTCAGAACATTCAAAGGAGATAGCCGAAATGAAGAGTTTTACACTCTCCCTTTCAATCTTAACCGCTTTTTCCCACCGTCATGAGGTTTTCCTTGGGGGTAGTTTTGTCATTTTCAAGATAGAGATTGTGCTGATCACAATCCCTTTTCGAGGCTAGGAAGTTTGTGATGTGTTGTTTTTTCATGAGAGCATGATAGCTTTGTTGTTGTTCTAAATTTCATTAATTTCATGTAAATTTTTTGTCTCGAGTTATTTAGCCATATTAAATGGAATTAATTTAGAGTTCTCCATTTGTTAATCGTTTATCTTTTACTTTTAAGATGAAATTTGAAATAGAAATTTATTAAAACATATTAATTAATAAAGTTGTACTTCAAGTCTAAATTTTGAAAGAAATTTCTACTTCAACCCCTAAAAAATTTATACTTCAAGTCTAAATTTGTGCATAATCGTTTCTCAAAAAATATACAACAAAAGAACGTTCTTATGTGCAACATTGTCATATCCATGCAACACAACGAGGAAACGACAACCTTAAAAACTCAGAAGAAAAAACAAAAAGAGATTGTTTTGAACAACGATTACTGAAAACGACACATACATTCAGGGCATCTGGGTTGTCTATAAATGCTTCTTCCCCAACCCCTCAATCTTACGGTTTGTGCTTCAGTTATCATATTCTTTACTCTTGCTTCAAAATCATTCCAATTTATTACAGTTTTATTATTCTTTAATAAAATTTCTGCAAGTCTCTTCTTATTAGGTCTCAAACTCGGAGCATTTCCACCACCATAATATGTTCTAAAACCCAACACCAATGAAGATAATTGGCTTCCTGAATCTGTTATTGCAAATACATCTGAAGTTGCACACGCAATAAAGTCCACTGCTGCTAACTAAAAACCAAAGTCATGAAATAGCAATGTACTTTCATCAAATTTTTAATAAGAAATAAATAAATAAAAGTAAAAGAAAGTATGTTGCTATTTAAGGTACCTGAGAAGAAAAGTTGTTGAAAGGTGCGAGTTCATTAGGGGAAAGGAGATCCTCTTTTGTGATCAAATGAGGATATAAATTAGTCAAAGGGCGTAATCTTGACTTTCCTCCATATATTTGTGATCCAGCAAGATAAATATATGTATCACTCATGAAACCAAGAGCAGCTAAAACAAGTGCAGCTTCTTCTGGTGTTAATGGACATCTTCCTGAAATTCTTAGTTCTTCTGGTGAAATAGGCCTACAATTACCCAATTATAGAAAGAAAAAATGGTTTTAGTTTTAGTTTCAATTACTAAAATTGGGAAGTTTTTTTTTTTTGACATACGCACTTTGACTTCTTTAATCGTTGCATTAGTAATGGAAAGTGGGATTCTCTGTAAGTTTGAAGTTCATCTTTCTCAATTTTTCCACCACCAAAATCACATAAAGAGTAGGCAACCATGTCAACTTCAAATCTCAAATGCAAAGCAAGATACTTAAGTGGTTCTCCATCTGTATCTTGACTGTTTGACTTTGACTTTGACTTTGACTTTGAACGAGGATTTGTGATGAAATCTCCTAATAGTTCCTTATCTAATTTGTTCCTTGGCTCATCGTATTTTCTTATTCTTCTAATTAACAATGAACCGATTTCTTGGATTTTTGGCACAAACTTCAAAGCATGATAATTACATTTGCACCTTAGCCTCTGAAGTTGAATAAATAAGATTTATTATGCATGTGAATATATATTGTAAGAAATTTGAAAATCTGATAATTGTAATGTAACCTGAAGATCAGAAGGCAAAGGATCAAATCCAAGGCGATTTCCATATCCAAGAAAGTGAACAACTCCATTTTTTGATAAAATTGGAAGAATTTTCTTGATGTATTCAACTGATGTTGCTTCTTTAGTGAGATCTGCATCAGTTATCTGAAATTCAATGGTGAAAACATTATCATAAAGAATTGGAGTAATATATTGATATTCCTTGTTTTGTTATTAATGGAGGGCAAATTAGGGAATAAAAGACAACATACCAGACTACCGATTTCTTTGAAGTTTAGTGATTTCAAATGAGGTGGGAGATCCTTTACTATATTAACTTCATCTTTCAATGTTTTCATGAAATAATCTTCTTGATAAATATCACCAAACTGGCTGAATCATAAACATAATCATCAAAACTATATTTTTTAATTTAGAAATGAAAAAAGAGAAAATAAGTCGACTAAAAAAAAAAGAGTTGGAGTAACAAACCTTGGGTCTTTCCATACATTGCTGTAAAGAAACCTTGGAATAACTAATGTTGCATTTAATAATGATGCTACAGCAACAGTATTACATACCTAAATACAAAGTAACAAACTTTTTTATATAATAAATTCCATAAAGCCTTCAATCATATGTATAAAAATGATCAAAATGGTTAATAAGTATCAGAAAACATTTTACTTACAGCAACACGTTGTTGATTTAGACCTCCATTTGCACTAACCAATATATAACCAGTGTTGCTTTGAAAACTTCCTGTCCTAACAACATTTGACAAATCATGAAAAAGATCATGCAAAACATAATCTCTAATATTTCATTATGGAAAGAAATTCACCATTTTATCAATCTAGCCATTGAATCACTAATTTCATTATGAGTATTATAGTAAATTCAGTTTTTTTTTAACCTGTATTTCTTGATTCCTTTCTATCTGCACAAGGACTCCATAATGATGCTTTTCGATAAGATTCCTTCCAAAATCTTGATTCCTCTTGTTTAAGCTCTCTCTGTGTTGGAAGTTATTCATGAACATACAACAAAACATATCAACTATAAACAAAACAAAAAGTCAAAAACTATATATTGAGCAATGAGCAAGGTCAAAATGGTAATCAAACCTCTACAAGAGCACTAGAAGCCATGCTTGCAAGGTGACCATACATTTGCACCACATTTTTGCCACTTTTATCTCCAAACTTCAAGAAAAGAGTCATTACTTTGTTAAGGCATTGTATATTGAAAAAGCTACCCAATTATAGAAGTGAAAATTGTTTTGTATTCAGATGACATTGCTAACTGTGTAGATTTTTTAAAATAAAATGTTTTAATAGGAAGAAATGAAAGTAGAATGTTATAATAAACAAATCAATGGAAGTACATTGCTATTTCTTGCATTTAACCCATTTTTACATTTGATATTTGGTTATTAGATTAACTGACAATTGGTTTTGGTCAATTTCCTTTGCTGATGCAGACCCAAAAAAGAAACACAAAAACACATACCATTTCAGTTTCAGTAGACAATTTTTTGGGAGGTGGATTACTTTGAAGAACCGAAGGTTCAAAGATGGAACCCATAAGAGAATCCAAAAGAAAAAGAAAACCCATCAATAAAAGTGTGAAAACAATTGATGAAAAATGTTTACGGATCCAAGTATGCCTTTTTCCAACATAAGCACCCTTTATAGAACCTAATTTCATGGAGTTACTCCTTAATCCATTAAACAACTCAAGCTTATCCCACTGGTAGACTCCCCCTGACACCCTCCTCCCCTTTGTTGGATCACTTCCTTGCACCATTTTTTGATACCTAAACTGATACTTAAACGACCCACATGGTGAATTAGCATCTCCTTGTTTAGACCCTGACTTCCCCATAATGTATGAAGAGCTTCACTTCTCAAAAACGTTTCATATACAGTATGAAATACCCACTAATTCATACTATCATTCCAAATAATTTGATTTGAGAGAGCCCCAGTTGAATTTTCTATATAGGGATACTAATAAGTCATGACATGTGTTCCTTTCACTTACTGTTATCATATATTTTAAATCGTTGGAATGAGAATGTCAGAGTTTGTTGTGGAAAAAAAATATAAAGATAAAAAGGAAGCATCAAATTCTGGATTGGAAGTGAAGCTAAATTAGGTGAAAATGAAAGGCAAACAATAGATTGGATAAAAGAAAAAGAAATAGTGATGAAGTAATGTATAAGATATTTAAAGGAAGAAAGGAGAAGGTTGCGTAAACGGACCTGGTCATGGAGATTGTAAACATATAAAACATCAAATGCAGGGGAAATATCACATCTGCAATTTGCAACGCACCAACTTCCCACCGAACAGCAGACTGAACATTGAAAAGTGATACCTTATGTTGAAGCTTTTGTAACAAGAATTTCGAATTGGGAAGTGTAAAACTAAAACCCTAGAAATCGCCATCAGAGGTTGTAGTGAAGTTGTTGATTGTTGCGATGAATCACGCCAATCCGTTGGGCGTTGGGAATTTGGTGGTTTCTCCTGCGCAATTTCAACAGTTCTACAATTTATAATTTATAATAACAAATAAGATTATTGGTAATTTAGGCCACCTCAGCACCGTTACCAGATAAATTATCTGAGGAATATGATGATTTGAATAATTTCCCGGTGATCTGTAATTTTTATAGAAAAAATAATTTTAAAACTCTTAAGTTAATTTGCCTAAAATAATATAAGGTACTGTATGTTTTTTTTTTTAAATTCTTCTAACCACTTATTGCTGCACGGCCCAGCACGCCCAACTAATCCATCCCGCAACAGCTTGTTTTTTAAAAGCCTTCAACGGTTCAGCTTAAAAAACATTTGCGCGTGTTCTGCGCCATGCAGCATTTGTTTTGCCTCTTTAAACCACTTCTGACCTAAAACCTAAAAAAAATGGGCTCAACATAAAAAAAACGCCACTTTCTTGTTTCCCCCCATCGAATCCGTCGCACCTATCTTCTCCATTCAACCTTCGATTTGTAGCTTCCTTCTCTATTCAACCTTCGATTCGCTACCTCACATCGGCATAACATCGTTGTCGGGCAGCCAGGCCTTCACCGTCGCCGCCTCATGAACAAGTATGTTTCTTTTCCTGAAATCAGCTTTTAAAATCGATTGTATCATCCTAAAATCAATTTTTCTTATTAATCTCTGCTGATTCTGATTAATCGATTGCTAGATTCTGATTAATCTTTTCTTGAAATTGATTGTTCATGAACTATCATTTGAGTTGTGTTTTGGTGGGATGTGGATACTAAGCAGAACATGAAATCGATTGTTGTGTGTGTGTGTGTTTTTTTTTTCTATTTGTTAAAATTGCAGTTGGGTATGTATGTGAGTTTCGTGTATAATCTAAAGGCTAACTAGGTTGCATTGAAAGGTATGTTTTTTTTTTCTAATTTCTATGTAGTTGTTGCAATAATCGAATTTGTTTATATTTTCTGCTTTATTATGCAATTGGTGCTGACAGCATGTATATATAACATGATTTTGAGACTTTTTTCATTTTCCTCTATGTTTGACAATCTTATGGTGTTTGACAATCTTATGGCCAAGATTCCAACACGAATCAAAAAACAATGGAAGCCCAAAGGAGAAACCCATGAACAGATAACATATGGAAAAAGAACAAGAACAAGAAGAATAGGAGTAAAGGTTTTAGCTTTGAAAGATTCCAATGTTGTGTTTGTTCTTATCATATTGTTTATGTGATCAAATGTTTTAAGTATCTTTTTTGTGGATAAGAACTTTTTCAACCTATTTATGAAATTAATCAAATTCTAGAAAACTAAAACGATCCAGTAGCCCATTCATTAATATATACTTTGTTGTATGAATTTTATTTCAATGTTTTAAGACTAGAATTATTAAAAATTTGGTGTTGAAAAACAAATTTTCAGTTTGTAAAATTAGTTTATTTAAATTTCAGTTTACTACATCAGTCTGCAGATGTTAAAAAACAAACATGTTTCTTATTACAGACTGCAGTCGTTTGGTCCACCTCTTCGGCTACAGAGATTTGCAGAGGTGATCCGCAGACTTCATGAATTTTCCCTTCAAAAAAACAAACAACACCTGAGTAATTGTCTCATTAATCGAGGGTACACTCTGGCCAAAAACTCACCCTCCTTTTCTTTCCTTTCTTGGTCCTCATTACTTGGTTTTTTACCCTCAAAGATGCAATGAAAATCACGGAATCCACACATTGCAGGTAAAAATTGGTGAAACTATCCATGTTATCTATCTTTTTCTTGGTTTGTTGATAGTTAGTACTAATTCACTAAAGTCAAGTTCTTGGGGTCAGTGTTGACTATGGAGAAGATACTGATTTGGACACTACACACTACAAACATTGAACTTTATGAAGACTTCAAAAAGTAACAAACCCCAAGATGCAACGATGCTTTCTAACTTGATGAAGACTTTAAAAAGAAACAAACCCCAAGATGCAACGATACTTTCTGAACACACTTAGTCAAGATGATGCCCAAGAAATCCCTGAATGGGACAATGTTGAAGGGGATTATATAGAGGATTCAAAACATGACAACTGTAAAGAAGAAGATCATACGAAAGAATTGACATGTGAAAACAAGGAAGAATATGGAGTTGGCTTCGAGTACTACATCCACAATCCAAAGGTTAAATGGAATAAAATAAAACTAGTATGTGGAGAGAGGTATGAATCACCGCACCAACTAAAATATGTTTAACCAATTATGCCATAAGTAATAGTTATCATATTCGTTTCAAGAAATGTGATCATGGGAGACTAGTTGCTATATGTGTCAGTAATTAAGACAAACTTCAGTGTCCCTTTATTGTTAGGGAAAACTAAATGAGTACTACTGAAAGGTATAAAAAAAAATTGTTGATAAACATAAGTGTGTTAGGGGTTTCAATATTGCATCACTTGTGAATCCCACATGTATAACAAGGCAATTCTGAAGGAGGTGATTAGAAAATCGAAATTAAAGTGAGAAAATACAAGCCATTATCCAAAGTAAATTTCATTACAAGATCCCCGTCAACCTGTTACACATCAAGGTGTATGATAATGTCTTTAATTGAAGGAAAATTAAGTGATCGCTATGTTAATGTATGAGATTATGCACAAGAGTTGATAAGATCCAATTAGGAAGTACATTTAAAGTTAGTGTTAGTGTAAACCCTGATAACACCATTACTTTTCAAGACTTTACATATGTTTTAAGGCAATTAAATAATGACGGAAAAAATGTTGTCGTTTAAGCTTGATGGTTCTTTTATAAAAGGAAGGTGTAAATGGGAAATGTTAACTACAACTTGGATTGTTGTTGACATTGACAGCAAGCCAAATTGGAAATGGTTTTTGGAAATGGTTGATGATAATCTTGGATTGCAAGATGGAAGGGGTATATATGTTATTTGTGATCAACACAAGTAATTTATAAATTTATATATCTTTATATGTATCTATGTATAGTAATTAATAATTAATATGTCGATGTCATTACTAGGGTCTTCTTGAAGTTGTAAAGGAAATCCTACCCCATGTAAAACACAAACAATGTGTAAGGCATATATTTATGCCAATTTCAGAAGTATATGGTGGGGTAGAGTTCAAAAACATGTTTTGGGTAGCTACTAAACCTACTGTTAAGGGGTTTCATGATCAATACGGATAAGATCAAGAAAATTACTCATGCTTCTTTATGATCATCTTATAGCCAGGGAACCTACTTGGTGCATGGATTTTTTGGGGTACTAGATTATCATGTGAGGCTATTGAGGATGAGATTGTTGAATGTTTTAATGTCATAATATAACTGAAACATCTCAAAACCTATATGTGAACATATGTTTTACTATATGATAATTTTTTTCTCAAAACCAAAGTAAGAAATCACAAGGATACATTTGCTCTTAATGAACTTGTGATACATAAATCATTAACCAAATCTATCACAAAAACAAACAAGATAATGATTTGATGAAACTTGTGTTACTACAACATAATCTATTAAGCTGAGGTTCTTGAATTTGTTCATTATTAATAGGGTATTGAATAACATTGTCGATCCTTATTCCTAAATTCCAGTAGGTACAAAATTTTGCAGATTATTATAAACAATAATAGGAATCATGATATATTTGTAACGTCCCAAAAATACTAACTATATTTTTAAGTCAACCAAAACCATCAAACATTTATTTTATAAGCCAATCAAAATGTGACAATGTATAAAATAGTTATCAGATTACAAATCAAAATCATAGAATGCGGAACATTGGTGCATGCAATGCGATGATATCAGGCCATTCCCCTTCGAACCAGAGGTACTTGAAGCCATAAACATAAAACGGTAAGCAAAAATCTTAGTGAATTCCCCAAAATACCACATACCACACATACATCGGGCCCCGCCCGGTACAAATCTATTAATAACATGTAATGGGCCCGCCCAAACATACATAGTGGGCCCCGCCCAACATACATACAAATACATACAATACATACAAGAGTGATAGTTTCATTTTATTTACTTCTTTCTATAGTTTATTTTAGCATATTTTATTTTATTTTTAGTTAATCTTCATGCATATTTTCCCTTTTCATTATTTTATATCTATATCGGGTACTTTCGAGTTTTTTTAACTTTATTATAGATATTTGGAGAAATGGAGCAGAGCGTGGAGGGAGATTTGGAAGACTAATGAAGTTTGAGCGAATGATCGAGATTGTTGGAGGTTATCAAAGAGAGTTGGATTGAAGATTGATATCGTTGGAGCTTACTTTGAAGATTGTATAGAAGAAACTTGAGCTTGATGGATTGGAAGATGGAATTTATGAGCTATGAAATTAATGGGTCTTTGAATGATTTTTGGGCTCCTTGGTATCTACATTGGGATCATTTGGATCAGTCAACAAAGTCAAAAGCAGGAGGACAAAATTGGACCAAAGAGGAAAGGGGGCAACAAACTTTTCTTGATTAGCACATCTCACCAGGACGCGTGAGATTTTACTCTGCAGCTCACGCGGTCGCGTGGCTCCTACAGGGGTAATTCCAGGTTTTCAAGTTTTATGGCTATTGAAGGATGGTTGGTGGGGCACTTTTGGGACACTCTTGGATTCGATTTTTGGGGTATATTTGCTGCAATTTAGAGAAAAAAAGGGAGAAACTCTTTGAAGAACACACTTTTTCTCTCAAGAAGAACTTGAAGATTGAAGATTTACATCTTTCCATCTTACTTCATGTTTGGTATTTATAACTTTCACCTTGTTCTTATGAGTTTAGCCATGCTAGGCTAAACTATCTTGGATTGACTTGGATGTAATTGTTTGAATGATTTGGTTATTTTAAAGAACTCCATGAGCTTGTGTTGAATATCTATGATTATATTTTCTATGAATACTGTTGGATTAGTGTCTAAGCCCGTAACCATATTTGGTAAGTACTTGACCCGGTTGTGCATGGTCCTT